AAAGGCGAAGGTATCCTACTGGGTCGAGATCCTTCGTGGGGATCTACGATATGGTGTGAAGAGGAATAAGGCTTGTGCTTCACTTCCATGAAAGACAATAGTTCTTTCAACGGAAGGCAATGTTTTAGATCAAGAGTGACGTCACATTTCTCCGCTACAATATATATGACCGAGAAATATAATTAGACGTAGAAGAAGAAGATAAATAGAAAAGGCAAAAGCAGAAGAAGAAGTAGAAGGAGCAGAGGAAGAAAGAAGAACAGAGAAACTCTACGATGTGTAGAGAAAAATTCCCACTACAGTAATTGAATCTCATCGAGTAATTGATGTTTTGTCGTTCATACACAATTCTTCAAACAAAATTGTTAATACCAAAACAAAAAAGCATTAAATGGAAGATAAAGAAAATTAAACAAACTTCAAGTAAGAGGTCAGGTAATTTCGAAGAAAATTAGGCAGATTAATTGTCGTGGAATTAAAGATTGGAAGGTAGTAGTCTAATTGCCGAAACTGCGTTCTCACCCGGAACGGCCGTCACTAATATTTCACGAGCTTAATTAGGATTTAAGACACGCTCACGTAGTCGCGCCGTGGATTAACCAACGATTAGCAGCGAGGCCAAAAGAAAAGGAACGAAAAAAGGACTCAGAACAAAACAGGCTCGGAGCCTCGTCATGAGATCGTTGAAAAATGGCGGCCGTGAAAGCCGAGACAGGGGCACTTGCAAATGGGCTTTCAATAAGGTTTTGTCCTCGATCTGTCGGCCAATCGGGTCATTCGTCACTTCTCATTTTCGCTCGTTAATTCGGCTACGTCGAAAGCCGATTTGCGTGACGATCTATGTCGATTTGTCGGCTGTCACCGCCGCTGTATACTACGTATCCATCGGCGCGAGAGATTCCGTTCGTTCCGGCTTCATCCCTTCGCGCGAGAAGCGGAAGTGCCGTCGACCAAATTCTCAGGAAAAATACGCTCAATCCTTTGAAGCTCATTTATTATATCGCGGAGGAGATTTCAATACTTCAACGACAAAATATCCAATGTACGCTTCTCTACTCCACTATATATGTAAAAATCAACGAAGACACATCTGTTTATAATCAATCTTGGCTGGTAAAATTCAACCTCGTCGATATAATCAATTATAAATCTACTTATTAAGAGCAATTATCAAGAGAAGCTTAAAATTTACAGCCAGGAAATTACTGGAATCGTCGGTTGTGTTGAGTGAAAAATAAAGAAACGTAAGCGCAAATAGATGTGTTTTGTATCGTAATGTTTGAACAAGGCGAATAAAATATTCGCGGTAAGGGAATTAAGTAATTACATATATTTCCTTTTACATCTATTTTTATGTATGACAGTAAGTTTCTATCAATTTTAAGTAAATGTAATTATATCAAAACTATGCGCGTTACGATATTTGACAGATTCTGTCGTGCAGAAAACGCCAATAACTCGTTGTCAAAACGGTTCACGAGCGTAACTAAATTTTCAAGTAACTATTATTGTTACAAATCGCACAACGAGCCGCCGGATAATCGTGCGACTTCGAGATTTTCTTTAAAGCACGACAGCGACTCAGTGAGAGACGACTTTATTTGCTCCGCTCGGAGCCATCACTCAGAGTGATGAAACGAAAACAGATGAGAAAGAAAATAACGCGGCGAGACAGATATGCGGTCGTTTTATTCATTCCCGTGAAATGATACTCGAGACGATCAAGACTTAAGTATCGCGCACCGGTAGGAGAAACGAAAATACACTCGTAAAAATTGGGAGTCGCGCGAATAAACTTTCTGTATGACATTACACTCGGACTACCTGCTATGATCGCAGCAATTTCCTTGACGATAAATTTCAGCGAATGACAAATTTTTGTAAGAAGACACGGATCAAATAAGTCGGCTTCTAAAATTGTTTGTACAGAGGAAAGAAAGATATCTCGAAGCAACCTTGAAGGAAGAAGAGGATATGATAGACGGAGGAAATAAATATTATCGAGAAAAACAATGTAGATATAAGATAAAAGTATCAATGCCTGGGCCATAGATTCGTAGAATGGACTGCGCACTGACAAGATTGAAAGACAGAGATATGCAAATACTTTCTCTGTCGTACAGTATTCCAGGGAAGAACAATGTGGGAGAAATAAAAAAGAGAGAGAGTGAAAACATAGTGAAAGAAAGAGAAGTCATCATGTAATCGCTTCTGCTCCTTCGTTCTCCTCACAATTAGACGATTAGACAAGGAAAGATTTTTACTCTCTATTACCCTTTCTTATTAATGCTGGCTTCATCCCTCCTACAGCAATGCACAGCTTATTCTATACATCCATGGCCTGAACATATACCTAATCCATTGTTTTAGTTTTTCAATACAGATATTTAAATTTTCAACATAGCAATGTATGCATACATTCAATACATGTGCATATATTCTATAATAAAAATTAAAATATTGCATTTAAAGACCAAAACAATAAGCATGTCCAGAAAGGGAATTTTAGATAAGTGTCCAGGCATTGGTGCTTTTGCCTTACGTGCAAAACTATTTGAAATCACTTTACAATTTCGTTTCTAAATAATATCGATAAAAAGAGTCTGCATAATCTATACGAATATAGCAAGAATAAAATAATTATAGGACGATCACGAGGGAAGGGAGAGCAGAAAGTCCAGTGCGTTCGTTATAACTCTACTTCGACCACTACGACGTCGATTTAGAATTCGGCAAGAAGATAATAGTGACTAAATAATGCCTGTTAGACTCCACTTTTGTTGTAGCGCGCCTACAATAATAATTACCTACGGGAGAAGTACTAAGTTCGTCGCGATTGATGCGAGAAGATCCTTTTTGGCCAATGCGTACCTGAGCAATATTAGGGATTTAATTACTTAATAATAACGTAGCGGATCGGGATGCTTGCCGTGTGCTGGACACCTTGTCGGTCTGCCAACCTGGACACATTATCGACGATAGATCTCTGGGTACCAAGTGAGCGAAACATCGGCGATACGGATCCGATTGAAGTCGCGCTGCACCGTCGTAAAGAGATCAGAATCGAGATTATCGCCTGATTTCTGAGGGTACCAATTCAGAATTCGAACCCTCGGCGGCAGTGCTGGAGAGAGATAGACAACAATAAATCGAAGCTCTGAATCCTCCTCGATAATCGGGGTTTATCATTAGAACACTTCCCGCTTTAATCCGCTGATGAACCATCGAGAGAAAGCAAGGTCGATTATATATACGTATTAAATTTCTCCTCGGCTGTTCCCGATCCAACTCTCAACTTCTCTAATCCGAGCGCATCCTTCGCTCATCCTTCGAGTTTGGACCTTCTTCCCTCAGGACTTTTCCCCTTTAAAGGAGAAAAAGAAGACGGAACTCTTCTTCCATTAATCATTCCGGAAATAGTTTAGGCGTTTAAAAAGAGAGATACTGTAGTAGCGCGAAAGTGTTTCGCGCGTCGAAGTTGACGTTGAGATGGGGAATCAGGAAAAGCTCTCAACGTTGGTACAGCCGCGAGAACGATACGATGGGACGCGACTCCCATTATCGTGTCGCAGTTAGAAAGTAAAGAACCGTATTGGCGATATTAACGAAGGTCCAATCTCGAAGAGAAATGGAGCAACGAGAGCGACGTAATACGATGAGTCTCCGAATGGTAACGCAGACTATGGCTTTCATCACTTAAAGCGGCCGTGGACCACGAGCAAGGTAATCCCGCGGATTTCATTGCGACCGGCATAATCAAAGTTCCTTGCCTTTCAACGAAGTTTCATCTCGAGAAGCGAAAGATTCTGCCTGAGAGCACGCTCCGATGTGTTTCCATCGATTTCATTAACCCTTTTAAATTCACGCTTTAGCTGTCGCAGGGAAGTTAATCGCGAGAGCGCAGAGAAGAGAACAGGTCGGCCGCGCTACGCGATAATCAAGCATTCTCAGCTCCCGCGCGACATGAGCTGCGAACGGTGCTACAAACGACGAGCGGTGGAAATGGAAACAGGCCACACGACGTTCCGCCTTCCTCTCTCAGTTCGAGATAACGTATCGCAGTCAGTCTTTGTCGCCATAGGCGATCCGATAGATCCGTAAGCCCCGACTGAGAAGGAGGGCGACCGCGAAGGACCGAGAATCAGGATAAACAGTTGAGCCGCGACCGTTAAGCCGTTCATTGAGCTGGAAACAGCCGGTTTCCATTAGCGACAGCAGTTGAAAGCGTCGCATTCGAATTGAGCGCTCCTCCAAGATGCTTCATTAAGGCTCCCTTGCTCGTGATCTGGCCACGATCGATCTCGCCATCGATTTCTACGCGTGAGCCACATTCTCGTCCCGTTTGACCTCCCTTTCTGTCGCGCACGGGGGTCGATTCGCTTCACCTACGATACCAGAGCCGAGAAGAGAGCTTATAGGAATAATACTTTCGTCACACCTGAAGCGATCTGCGCCTCAACTCGAGACCGTACGAGTCTGCGTGCGTGTACAGCACGTGAAACGTCGCGAGGACACTTCTTGATCGCCGGATCGTCGGAGCGCCGCGTGAAATCTCAAGGGAGGACGCGGGGACGACCGACGTCCTTGAAGAACCGGGATCCCAATCGACAGTCTACGATTCGGGGGTGGAAAGGGACTTGGCGACCACCACTGGGGGGAGGGGGTGGCCGCCGTGCGACGTGCACGTCGTGTCTCTCGTGTGCAGCCGGCGATATCGATCTTGCGAATCGTCGCCGGTTTGTTTAGGGTGCCTCCACGGTCCTCACCCCGGCTCACACCCTGGTCTCGTTGTAGGGACTGGACGAGCTCGCGCCCTGACGACGCTGCCGGTCGGCGTCGCCCGGCACGTTGAACACGACGTTCGGCACGGTCGCCGGGTCGACCGTTGGGGCTTGCTGATAGTGCGACCGACCGGGCTGTGATTGGTGAGAGTGGGAGGAGGACGAGGGCGCGCCCTCGCTTATGGAGGTAGTCGAGGCGAGTATACGCCGACCGCGTACCTGGTAACGTTGGGGGTAGCAGCGCCCGCAGCAGGAGTGCAGCAGGCCGCCCCTGGAGGCAGTGCTGTGCGCGGGGGAGGTCAGGGGTGACGGCGAGCCCGGCCTCTTTGGGGCGCCGTTGTACGGCACTTCCATCTCCACGAATTCGCGATCCTGGAAAAAGAAAATAGACAGGGCGCTCGTGAGTGAAAATTCCTTCCTTGATTTCATGGATGATGCGCTAATGAAAGAAAAACCGTGCGAAGAGGGTAGCGAGGGAAACCATGCTGGGATATATGCGGGGATTTCGTGCGCACGCGATGGTACTTACGAGGATACCCATTACGGCCTTCACACACAAATTGACATAACCGTAACGTAAGACATACCGTAAGAATTGAACAATCACATTGAGAATCGTCGAACCGTAAGGTCGCCAATTTGATGAATACTCGATCGCAATTGGTCAATTCTTACGGTACATCTTACGTTACGGTTACGACAATTTGTGTGTGAAGGCCCTTAGAAATTTTGATTAGGTACGCCTGATATTATACAAGAACCTAAGTAAATTTATGATAATCCTACATGTGGTATATTTGATAAAAGTATAGTGACGATCAAATAAAGAAAACTCGTGAAGGATTATGATAATTAGACTCATTATTGGTACATTAGAATCCTAAAATTCAACTTTCTCAGCAGAAATTTTAATCAGATATGCCTGATACTGTACAAGAACCTAACTAGATAGGTGTAAACGTAAAATAATCCTATGATTAATAATAATCCTATAGTATGGTATATTTAATAAGGGGTATAGTGAGAATTAAATAAGGGAGACTTATGGTTAGACCCAGTATAGGTTTACGTTAGGATCCTAAAGTTTAATTTCCTGACAAGAAATTTTGATCAGATATGCCTGATATTATACAAGGACCCAGCTGGGTAAATGTAAGATAATCCTAAGTACGATATACTTGATAAGGGTATAGTGAGAACTAAGTAAGGGAAATCTGTAAAGTTATGATGGTTAGACCCATCATAAGTCATTAAGAGAGATCCTAAAATATGAACTTAGTGTATTATCTTATAAGGTTACATTGATCAGATGTTTTCGAGATTTTATCTATTCTTCATATTATTTATGGTTTGTCTTATCAGGATTCAACAGAAATCATTTATGGCTAACTTTATATACATATAACAGGCGTATAACTATAAAAATTATGTATTCGTAAAAATTATTTTCTATATTTTTCTCTTTGATTTCAAATATTACTAAATATTTATATAAACTACTAAATTATAAGAGTAATTTATAAGTAGTTAAGCTATCAGTATATCGTCAGAGTTCGTTAACATCACTTTGTGTTCAATGGTGAAGTCAAGCAAAACGTCAGGCCGTAGTCAGTAAGGGAATGGACCATTCACGAAACGGTGAAATATTTGGATGGAGGAGTTACGAAAGGAAGGATATACGGTAAAAAGACCGCATATGTTAGTAATGAAATGTCAAATTTTCATATAACAAAATAAATTTTCATTAAACAAAATAATTAGATTTTTTATTTCTCGCATAATTTTTTTCTCTATATGAAGATCTAATAAAAATTCGATGAGAATCTGACTAGGATCTAATGATGAATCCTGATTACCGCGCTGCGTTACATGACTTACTAGGACCTTATACAAACTGATAATCGATTGAGATCAACCTTACCAGCAGCATGGAATAAATTTCTAGCCGAGATTCGTCGGACTGTGAAATTACAGAACGCAGGACGCAAATGTAGGAACGCTGAGGTTGAGGAAAAATATCGGAGGATAGATTAAAGAGGAAACCCATGGGAAACCGAGAAGTTGGGGACACACTCGTTGGACATTGGACGGAAGGTGTTGAAATAAGAAGATAGCAGAACATGAGGGCCTTTCCGGCTCCATTCGTCCCATGAGAAAGGGTGTGAACAATCGTGAGGTTAAAAGCTGCGCCAATTCTCGCAAGCAGCGCACATATACGCACACATTAATTAGAACGTGTCACGTTTGCTGGGAAGCTTGGTTCAAACTGTGCAAGGTAAGAGAAGACGTGGGTGAATCAGAATTATTCCCGAGTGACTCTGCACAATGTCGAACGTGTCGAATGAAACGATCGAGCGTGATAGTTGCCGGTAACTCACGATCAATTATCATTTATCTGCATTAGAATTGCAGCACGAGAGCATCCCCACGATCACTACAAATCCAAGTGTGTAATTTTTTATCGAATTTCTCAATAAAAAAAACAATGAAGATTTTTTTAGAACCTGATACACTTTTACTTTAATTACACGTTAACCTTATGTACCTTTTATATTTCAATTAGGTGGAAGTACACATATATTTCGCTATTTTTACACGTTTCATACTGTGTATCATTTTGTACACGGAAAAACGTGTTACTTTACACATTTAAAGGTTTAAATGTTTTTATGCACGACAATGTGTAATTTTTATGGAAAACAAAATTACATACATAAGTAAGTACTTTTATACATGTAAGTGTGTATTTACTAGACACTTGGATATGCAGTGATCTTATCATTATACACCTCCTTCAACGAACTATAACAGAATTATTATTAATTACTTTTTCCGTTGGAGTATATATCATTTATCTCGCGTGCTGACGCATATATGATAATTAATGAGTGCGAGTGTGCACAAAACATCGGCGCATCGTGCAACATCGCGCGAAGAGAGAAAGAGAGAGGGAGAGAAAGATGAAGCGTATTAACATCCAATGTAATCGTATTTCACGCTTCCTCGACGGCGCGAGACAAATCCTTTCTTCCGTAGATAAATTTATTGCCAACGCATTTTCACCTCTCTTCTCTTCTTACAGACTTGCCAAATTTTCATCTTCGAAGAATAACAATTTCCTCTCTATATGTGTGTGGCCGGCTGATTAATTAATCTACTTTGTCGGACATAGTCGCGTACCTTATAACGGCGGTAAGACGAAGTGCAACTATTTCTCGACATGTTACCGTCGCTGACCCAACTTCGACCTGTCGTATATTGCCTAATCTATGTACGAAGTTGTTGGTTAACCCGAATTATGCCGAGAGATGAGAAAGCAAGCAACGAGCCCTTTCGGTTGTTTCTCGTCGTTACGTCGTAACACGCCCGTGTTTCGTTCGCGATTCTGCAAACTTCCGCTGGGAATGTATCGGACCTGTTTTGCATTAATTTCGGAACGTCGTTAGTGTAGTCTGTATTCTAGGTGGAGCTCCCTTAATAGCAAATTAAGAAAACGTACAATGAGGAGGCTATGATATGAATACTTATTGTTTGATAAATTTTGTCTTTTCTTCATAATAGAAATGTCCAAAACAAAATTATTCTATTTGAATGTGACTTTATAGGAAAATTCTCTTTTTGTATAAAGTTACGTGTTTTTTATTCATTAAAAAATTTATTTTTATATGTAAAACGTTCTAATAATCATAATCATCGTTATTAGCAATGTAATTTAATATGTTGCATATATATATATGCAATATTGGTTTTAAACATTAAATTATTATAAGGAAAAAAAAATTCATATATATTGAAATGTGTAAAAGGAATTGAAATATCATATATATTTCCCCGTACATTCCAACTGAATGTATTGTTTATATTGAAAAAATATTTAAAAAAAAGGAAAGAATTGACATGAAAAAATGAGGCTTTTGAGAGAGAAAGATGTTCGTGATTTCATAACTTCAGTATTTTTCAAATAGACTTTTCAATCTATTCAAAAATATGTCTAGAGGAATACAATTTTAAATTGTATTATTGTATTATTTATGTATTAATAATATATAAATAATATGTATATTATATTTAATTTTTTAGTTTAGAAATTATTTAGCTATAATATTATAATATTATAGCTCTTATTAATATATTTATTTGTTATTTTTTATTTCTATGTATATTTTTAATTCAACTATTTGTTCTCATTCATCCATTTTCACAGTTATATTCGTATTGCTTGCTTAAAATCACGCGCCATTTAGAAATTATTTATTTATTTTTTATATTTTCTTTTATAGTCACTTATTATATTTATTATTTTTATTATTATTGATTATGATTATGAGAATTTTTTACATATAAAAATAAATTTTATAATGAATAAAAACGCGCAACTTTATAGAAAAAGAAAATTTTCCTATAAAGTCGCGTCCAAATAGAATAATTCTGTTTTGAACATTCCTTAAATCCCTTTTCCTTCGATGCTTCTTGGTTTTATTCAATTTTTCTTTTTTTTTTTGTAGTTCCTTCGCACAATCCTTCATGATTAGTTAAATTACTAGAGTAAATTACTAGAGCTACGTTAGATACGAAAAAGTGGATAAGGGATGAGAGTCCCGTGATCCGCGTGAAAAACGGGACGCTACGAAGAAATCCTGCGGGAACGATGCTCGGAAAACGAGGGGTTATCGAGTGATCTCTCGACGTCGCTCGAGTGAGCGTCGCGTTCTTCGGCGTCGCGCGAAAGGATATTGCTCGTATAGAATGGAGCAGCACCTCGATCTCCTTTGCGATAAACGTTCTCGAAACGACTCGATGAGGTCTACGTAAACTGGGAAACGTTTTTGCTGTGTGGAAGATAACGGCCACTAATAATTTTTGCAATGGCATTTTACAATTATAACTTTATAATAAAATAATTTTATAATATAATAAAATTTTATAATATTTATTTAATATTTATTTAATAATATATATAGTATATAACATGTAATAACGCACATTAGTATGCGTTATATAGAATTAAAAATTTGTTCTGGCGAATTAAATTAATTGGTTGATTCAGGGTAAAAATATGTGGTTTTTCTTCCTCTCCCATATTTCTTTCTCCCATATTTCTGATATTTATATATCAGAATAATATATTCTAATATAAACTAATATGTTCAAATATGTTCAAATGTAATCTATGATATGAATTAATATTTCTTTCAAATGATTTAATTTATTCATTTATGATAATAAACACGATGTAGTATAAAAAAATGTTCTGCTTGTACGTAAGATTGTATACATTCGTCTTGATTTTATTCTCCTGAGGGATTATGATTAAATTACACGCTAACATCCACGGTTCTGATTCCGATTAGCCTACTTATCACATGTTGCTT